TGCTCTTGCAGTCATTTTTACAGGACGACCACGCCTAGGGAGAGTAGCAACAGTGCTAAACTTTCTCCATTTGTAGACAGTCTGTCTTACCGTGGACACATGAACATCAAGGCTTTTGGAGATACTTTTGTAACCCTTTCCAGCTTCATGCAAGTCAACAATTCTTGATCGTAGGTCTTCTGAGAGCTCTTTTCTGCGAGGCATGGTTCACATCAGTCAGTGCTTCTTGAAACCAGTAAACCCATAACAGGTGTGTGTTTTATAAGGGCAGGACAGTTGTCAGCAACACATCCAATATCATCACACTGATTGGAGTCAAGGTTGGCTCACTCCTGGCTCCAATTAGCTCTGGGAGAAGTCATTAAGCTAGGGCCTCACATACTTTTTCCTCCCTGCACTGTGAATGTTTACATGTTATGTGCAATTAAACCATGGCAACATCTAATGTTTGTGTAGTATTATGTTCAGCAGACTGTGTTCTTCTATTGTTGTGACTTGGATGATGTTCAGAGCACATTTTATGCCCAATTCATGCAAAACTCCACGTAATCCCAAGGGGTTCACATACTTTTTCTTGCAACTGTGTGTATATATATATATATATATATATATATATATATATATAATATATATATATATATATATATATATATATATATGTTATATATATATATATATATATATATATGTATGTGTGTGTGTGTGTGTGTGTATATATACACACACACACACACACACACACACACTTTATTTTATGCTTGAGGGTTCTAAGACATTTTCTAGCAAAAATATGAATTTTAAAATGTAAACCAAAAGTGCCAGAAATGGCTTAGGGCTGAAGTGGTTCAAAATCCAGAGCGAAGGTAAATGGAATCTCCTCATTTTACACACACATTCGTTTTCATTTTCCAGCCTGCCCAAGAAAACGAGAGCTAGGATCTGACTGATTGCTAGGTGGAATAGAAAAATTTATATTTGAGCGTTTTTTGCTTTTTATGAACTCTAGAGTGTCTGAAATCTAATATCGTACTTAGCAATACCTTTTTTTTAAAAAAAAAAAAAATGGAAGTCTTCTAGAGGGAATGGCGTATTTTCCTGGTAGGTGCAAACAGAACTATCTAAGTATGGTTGGGTGGAGGCAGATAAAGATGAATAAACAGCTAAAAGAAGGTCTGCATAGAGACATGTCAGGTGCCGGCGCTCCGTAATCTCTACTATTTGCAGGTTATTACTGCAAGGCTGAGTAATTCCGTTGCTAAACCACAAGAGCTTTCCTGTTCACATTGGCCTCAGTCACCATGACATGCCTGGATAGTCTGCCTTGCACCTTTCAGTATAAAAAAAGAATAGTGTGGGTTTGTTTTTTTCCCCCCCCCCATTTTATACTTACCTACGTGGATGCTGCATCGGGCCCCCGCTGGCTCCAAGGATGAGAACTCAGCAATCACGACAAGTTTTCACCACCGCTGTAAGCGGAGAGAGATGACTATCAGTCGCCGCCGTCTGCGCTCACTGGACTGTGGAGCGGAAGGAGCGGCTGGCTCAGGATCTCAGAGCTCCGCTGAGAGCCTGAGCCAGGTGCTCCTCCAGACTCTGCGGTGGATCCCGACTTTAAAGTCAGGATCCTTCCCCAGCCTGGATCAGCTGAGTAACGTCAGCCCGCTGTCAGCTGAAAACAGGGTAACAGAACGAACTGCACTCCTGTGATCCACAGGAGGACAACCAAAAGAGTGTTTGTTGTACTTCTCCTTTAATGAACTGTTGGTGGCAGAAATTAGAGGCATCCTTGGTCAAGCAGTAGTGCAATTAGGAAAGTTGTAAACCCTGACCCCCGGTTCACATCTATGCAGCCGTGCGGGCCACGATTTGCGTCGACTCCCGTGCCTCGGGACATGCAGGGAAGAAGTCCCTGCACTTCTTCTGAAAACGCAGCCCGCATGGGAACCTCGGTTCCCAGTACGGTTGCATTTTCCAGTGCGGGCGGCGTGCCATCAGAACTAAAGACACCCCCCCCCCCCCCCACACAGCTCACAGGAACAGAGCTGAGGCTGTCCATCAGCTGGAGGTCCCTCCCCTGTCACCATTTTTCTCTGTGTCAGGAAATCTGTCTAGAAGTGATTCATGCTGACAGCAGAAGAATGAAGCAGTAAACAGAAATGTCACGTACAGGGGTGGACTGACAACTCATGGGGCCCCCAGGCAATAGGGGATCTGGGGCCCCTGTGTCCTCACCCACACCCAAAAAAGCCTATGAAAAAGCCAATGAAAAGGTACCAGGGGCATCTCATGGGGCCCCCTACTGACCTCGGGCCCTCGGGCAGTGCCCGAGTGCTCGAATGGTCAGTCGCCCCTGGTCACTTAGTGCTCTGGACTGAGACAAGCGCACACTATAGAGGGATATGCTTTATTCATATTTCATATCTGAGATTTACAACCACTTTAAATAAAAACAACTAACGATTCACTGAAATTTCAGAGGCCGAAACATATTGACTGAAAATAGCCCTCACAGGATTTTGCCAATAGGAAAAATGTAGCTGATACAGGGGGTACTTCAGATGTGGGGGAGGGGTGTTTTCATTTAAAGGCAGGAGAGGAGCAGTGTATACAGTGAGCTACCACTATAGGTCACTGCCGGTTTTTAAATGTAATTACCAGCTTTTTTTTTCCCTCCACTAAAGCTCCAAGAAGGATCAGTCATCCTCCCTTCTGCTACAGGAAACAAAGGGGTGGGGTCACTGGGTGACCCCGTTTTTTTTTTGTTTCCTTTAGCGACGAGCACAATGACAGCTCCTTCTTGGAGCTTTAGTGAAGGAAAAAAAAGCCATTAATTACATTTAAAAAACGGCAGTGACCTATAGCGGCGGCCAGTGAGGGAGCCTGAGTGTATACACTGCTCCCTCCCTGTATACACTGCTCCCTCCCTGTATACACTGCTCCCTCCCTGTATACACTGCTCCCTCCCTGTATACACTGCTCCCTCCCTGTATACACTGCATACACTGCTCCCTCCCTGTATACACTGCTCCCTCCCTGTATACACTGCATACACTGCTCCCTCCCTGTATACACTGCATACACTGCTCCCTCCCTGTATACACTGCTCCCTCCCTGCATACACTGCTCCCTCCCTGCATACACTGCTCCCTCCCTGTATACACTGCTCCCTCCCTGCATACACTGCTCCCTCCCTGCATACACTGCTCCCTCCCTGCATACACTGCTCCCTCCCTGCATACACTGCTCCCTCCCTGTATACACTGCTCCCTCCCTGTATACACTGCATACACTGCTCCCTCCCTGTATACACTGCTCCCTCCCTGTATACACTGCATACACTGCTCCCTCCCTGTATACACTGCATACACTGCTCCCTCCCTGCATACACTGCTCCCTCCCTGCATACACTGCTCCCTCCCTGCATACACTGCTCCCTCCCTGCATACACTGCTCCCTCCCTGCATACACTGCTCCCTCCCTGCATACACTGCTCCCTCCCTGCATACACTGCTCCCTCCCTGCATACACTGCATACACTGCTCCCTCCCTGTATACACTGCATACACTGCTCCCTTCCCTGCATACACTGCTCCCTCCCTGTATACACTGCTCCCTCACTGTATACACTGCTCCCTCACTGTATACACTGCTACCCCCCCCCCCCACCACCTCCTCCCCCTTCAAAGAGGACCTGTCAGTCATATACCATCACATAGGGGACTATTGGTCCCCTCTGTGATATCAATAACATCATAAAGTTAAAAAATAAAAAAAAGTACACATTAAAAAAAATAAATATGTATGTATGTATGTATGTATGTATGTATGTATGTATGTATATATATATATATATATATATTTATTTTAGTACAAAAAAAAAAAAAATGTGAGCCTCCCCACCCCCCATTTCGGTTTTCGGCCATGTGCATTCTGAATTTTCGGTCTCGGTTTCAACACCAGAATTTTCATTTCTGCGCACCACTAACAACAACCAAAAATAAAATGCTGGGTAAGAAGCAGAATCTAAGGAAGGTTCAAACCTTGTGCATGTCAGAAACATATACAAACCCACATTCTTTCTAGACACGCACAGAAAAGCACTGTCTCTACTTTTTATTGGTACACCCGTGCATTTAAAGCGGAGTTCCACTCGCCCTGTCAAAAAAATAAAGTCAGCAGCTACAAAAACTGTAGCTGCTGACTTTTAAAAAACAGCCACTTACCTGTCCCTCGGTCCCGTGGTGTCCCCCCCCACAGTCCGTTTCACCGGCTGTCCTGTATTCCAGCAGGCCGTCATCTTCAGTGCGGGCACCCAGCTGTGATCGCTTGCGGCTTCACAGCCGGGTACCCACTGCGCATGCGCGAGAAGCGCTGCGCTTCCTGAATAGTCCTGTAGTCTTCTGGGACCTGTCATGTGTCCCAAAAGACTACAGGGAGGGAGGGCGGGAGGACACCTTCCACTTCCGATCGCCTAGCCGATCGCAGCGGAAGTGGGAGCGGGTACCTGTCAATTTCGGGTACCCGCTCCCCAAAGGTGCCAATCCTTATGGGGAGCGGGGGGGAGCAGTCCTTAAAGCGGAACTTCCCGTTTTGCGTTGAGCTCCACTTTAACCTGCACTGCAGCACTATGCACTTCAGTAGCGGCTGGTTTTTTGAAACGTAGGCGTTTTTTGGCATGTAGGACAAAATCGTACTACTATGCTGCAAACACTTCAACTGTACTGAAGTCAGAAAGCCGACGAAATTTGAATGCAACTGACAGATGCTTATAAAATTCAATGACCCCTTGCAGCCATCGAGCACGGTGAAGGAAAGGTCTTCTCTCTAGGTAGCAGTATTCCTCCTCCTCCTCGCACCCTCTGATATGGGGTAGGACCAGCCAGGGAGAAGATTACTGACACCTAAGGGAAGTTCTTCCGTTCTTCCATCCTGCCTGAGCCGTATTCAGTCTACAAGTCTATAGAATATTTCCTTTGCGGCGGCGGTAAGAGTAGAGTTACCTGGTTGTTCAGTGACATCCACTTTGGCAACTTTAACGTTAAGGCCGGAACTTCGTTTTGAAAAATCCTCCCAATCTCCTTCGATCTGCTGGCATGCTGGACACCAAGGAGCGTAACTGTAATGACAAAGATCAGAGATCACTAAGATATAAAGTGTTACTAAACCCCCCAACAGTACAATCAGTCTGTAGATGCAGGAAAGCATGCTTGTTATACTCACTGTGGAACCTACGGGGTTAATACTCTGCATTGTGTAAAAACGCTTTTTGATCCTGGCTTCTCTGATCCTCCCCTTCTTCCAGCGCACGCCCCTACGATCCTCCCCCCTCTTCCAGCGCACGCCCCTCCGATCCTCCCCTTCTTCCAGCGCACGCCCCTCCGATCCTCCCCTTCTTCCAGCGCACGCCCCTCCGATCCTCCCCTTCTTCCAGCGCACGCCCCTCCGATCCTCCCCTTCTTCCAGCGCACGCCCCTACGATCCTCCCCTTCTTCCAGCGCACGCCCCTACGATCCTCCCCTTCTTCCAGCGCACGCCCCTACGATCCTCCCCTTCTTCCAGCGCACGCCCCTACGATCCTCCCCTCTTCCAGCGCACGCCCCTACGATCCTCCCCTTCTTCCAGCGCACGCCCCTCCGATCCTCCCCTTCTTCCAGCGCACGCCCCTCCGATCCTCCCCTTCTTCCAGCGCACGCCCCTCCGATCCTCCCCTTCTTCCAGCGCACGCCCCTCCGATCCTCCCCTTCTTCCAGCGCACGCCCCTCCGATCCTCCCCTTCTTCCAGCGCACGCCCCTCCGATCCTCCCCTTCTTCCAGCGCACGCCCCTCCGATCCTCCCCTTCTTCCAGTGCACCCCCTCCTATCTCCTGATAAGACATATCATGTGGAGTCACTCTGCACATGCTCAGTTTGGTGTGTATTACTACAGGTTTTTTTTTTTTTCTTGAGTGAGTTCATGTGATCAGCACAGGGCCAGTCAGAGGTCAGGGGCTCTACATCCTCCTAGAGAAAACAAGCTTTAACCAGTGCTCTGCTGAACACCGATAGAAGTCACAAAACGGATATATACGGTTGATGAGAAAAGGTATTTAGCAGTTTACATTTATTAATATAATTGCTTTTCAATGTTGTGTGTACTGTGGGAGACCAGATATCGTAAATGCGGGGTCCGGGGAGAGCGGATATAGTGAATGCGGGGTCCGGGGAGAGCGGATATAGTGAATGCGGGGTCCGGGGAGAGCGGATATAGTGAATGCGGGGTCCGGGGAGAGCGGATATAGTGAATGCGGGGTCCGGGGAGAGCGGATATAGTGAATGCGGGGTCCGGGGAGAGCGGATATAGTGAATGCGGGGTCCGGGGAGAGCGGATATAGTGAATGCGGGGTCCGGGGGGAGAGCGGATATAGTGAATGCGGGGTCCGGGGAGAGCGGATATAGTGAATGCGGGGTCCGGGAGAGAGCGGATATAGTGAATGCGGGGTCCGGGGAGAGCGGATATAGTGAATGCGGGGTCCGGGGAGAGCGGATATAGTGAATGCGGGGTCCGGGGAGAGCGGATATAGTGAATGCGGGGTCCGGGGAGAGCGGATATAGTGAATGCGGGGTCCGGGGGAGAGCGGATATAGTGAATGCGGGGTCCGGGGAGAGCGGATATAGTGAATGCGGGGTCCGGGGAGAGCGGATATAGTGAATGCGGGGTCCGGGGAGAGCGGATATAGTGAATGCGGGGTCCGGGGAGAGCGGATATAGTGAATGCGGGGTCCGGGGAGAGCGGATATAGTGAATGCGGGGTCCGGGGAGAGCGGATATAGTGAATGCGGGGTCCGGGGAGAGCGGATATAGTGAATGCGGGGTCCGGGGAGAGCGGATATAGTGAATGCGGGGTCCGGGGAGAGCGGATATAGTGAATGCGGGGTCCGGGGGAGAGCGGATATAGTGAATGCGGGGTCCGGGGAGAGCGGATATAGTGAATGCGGGGTCCGGGGAGAGCGGATATAGTGAATGCGGGGTCCGGGGGGAGAGCGGATATAGTGAATGCGGGGTCCGGGGAGAGCGGATATAGTGAATGCGGGGTCCGGGGAGAGCGGATATAGTGAATGCGGGGTCCGGGGAGAGCGGATATAGTGAATGCGGGGTCCGGGGATATAGATGCGGGGTCCGGGGAGAGCGGATATAGTGAATGCGGGGTCCGGGGAGAGCGGATATAGTGAATGCGGGGTCCGGGGAGAGCGGATATAGTGAATGCGGGGTCGGGGAGAGCGGATATAGTGAATGCGGGGTCCGGGGAGAGCGGATATAGTGAATGCGGGGTCCGGGGAGAGCGGATATAGTGAATGCAGGGTCCGGGGGAGAGCGGATATAGTGAATGCAGGGTCCGGGGAAAAAAGGGTCCTGCACGTTTTTGGTGCGGTGCGAATAGAGCAATACAAAACGTATGGCTCCAAACACACCGCACACAAATCGCACAGGAATACAGTACGGTTCCTGTGTGAATCACATGCGATATACCCAACCGCATATATGTGAACACGGGATTACACTCCCTTTGGTGCCACGTAAAAGACTGAAGATAAATTCAAAATGAACAAAAACAGTTACAAAATAACAAACATCTTGAACCACGTTGGACTCGTCAGTCCTCTAATGACAGAGCTTCTCACGTGTTCAGTAACTGATAGTGAGCTATCTCTGCAGAGCAGGCGAGGGAGAGGTACGGCGAGGGAGAGGCGCGGGGAAATTTAAATGTTATTTTCTTTTTGCATGGCGCACATTTTAACTGATTCTGGCATATCTTTATGTCAAATGTTTGTAGAAAGAACTTTCACAGATCCTTACAGCTTGTCACAACAAAGGGCCCTAGAAGAGACACTGAAAAAAATCAGAAGAGACACTCATTAACTGCTTAACCTTTTGCTGACTGCGCTGTAGCCGAATGACAGCTACAGCACGGTCACCCAGTTCTATTGACGTCCTCCCAGAACCCCTCCCCCATGGCGCTCATCCTTTGGACACAGCGAATCACAACTCAAGGTAAAGAGCCAATCACAGCGGCCCTTTACAATGTGATCAGCTGTGTGTCCATTTACAGCTGATCACATTGTAAACAGGACTTGCTGGCTATCTGCAGTCCTCTCTTCATACTGACAGCTCGTGAGGGTAGGAGAGCGAGTAAGCGGCAATCCACACAGGAGACATCTACACTGATAATCAGTGCCCTGATCAGTGCAGCCCCGCCAGTGCCCATCGGTGCAGCCCCGCCAGTGCCCATCGGTGCAGCCCCGCCAGTGCCCTGATTATCAGTGCAGCCCCGCCAGTGCCCATCGGTAAAGAAGAAAAGTTACTTATTTACAAAACTTTATCATTTTTTTTTTTTCAGAATTTTTAGCCTTTTTAAATTTGTTTAGCAAAAAAAAAAAAAAAAACCCAATGATGATTAAATGCCACAAAAAAAAAAGCTCTCTCTCAAAAAAAAAAATTATAAAAATGTCATATGGTTTCAGTGTTGCATGACCGCGCAATTGTCATTTAAAAAGCGTGACAACACTGAAAGATGAAAATTGGCCTGGGCCAATTTTTCAGCTTTAAAAATGACTTGTGCCACTTTTGAAATCGCTCTCAGCAAAATCCATTATAATGGAAAAAAAAGATTAGGCAGCACAAAAAAGAAAGATCGTGTGAAAGAGACAAACCAAACTATTTAACAAAGTCCCCTTTGTGATGATTTTTTGGTGACAGGTTCTCTTTGAGAAATCCAAGGTCTAAAAGACCCTGCATGTCTCCCCTTTGCTCCATTGAATGTAATGTGGTACACATCGCACAATATTACATTCTTTCCTGGGGATTGCTTTAAAATCTCTCAGCGGGGACCCGGAAGTGACATCGTAACCTCACTTCCGGTCAGCACAAGAAAGAGGAGAGGAGCAGACTCGTCCGGTTTTTTATCTCCCCTCTAGCCAATGGCGAGCCGGGCCCACAGATGGCCGAGTGGAGACCAGGAGACCTCCCGCTGGGGACGCGGAGAGGCTGGCACTGTTTGAAGCAATCAGCGGCAGCGCTGCCGCCAATTGCTTCACTGGACAGGTGAGCCCACTGCTTGCCTCCAGCAGGGCTAAAAGGAAGAAAGAAACTACCTGCCCGGCGTCCAGAAATACATGTCCCCGGGCGCTAGGAATCCAACAGCCCACCAGCTTCAGGTTAGGTTCACATCTCCGCATTCCTTCGGGCCGTGTTTTGCGCAGGCACAAGAGCCTATTTATTTGAATGGAGTCCCATGCCCCAGGATAGGCACGAAAGAAGTCCCCGCACTACTTTGGAAAACGCAGCCCGCATGGGAACCTCGGTCCCCAGTACGGTTGTGATTTCCAGTGCGGGCGGCGTGCCATTAGAATTAATGGCACCCGGCCGGTGGGTCCGCATTCCTATGTGCGGATCCGCAGCGGCACCACCCGCACAGATGTGAACCGGGGGTCAAAGTCACAGGTGGCTCCTGGATAACAGAGGACAGACAAATACTTAATAAAGTATCCTCAGACCCAGGGCACCATTCTAGACCTGTTCCTCCACTTTACTGATGAATATACAAGGTGCTGGCTCAGAAAACACCTTCATTAAGATAAAAGATGAATGGGAGCCACACACCCATCTCCTTCATTCAGAAAATCCACAGAATAGCTGCAACCAGGATCACTCCACCCAGGAACCAGCACCTTCTTAAAAGCAGAACTACATTGTATCTGAGCACCGCAAACCAAAAGCACAATTTAATATGGCGGCAGTGGCTAAAGAGTTAGCACTTCCCCTGACAGTACTAGAGGTTGTTAGTTCGAAACCCAACCGCAGCACCACCTGCCTGGAATTTGCATGTTCTCCCTGTGCGGGTTTCCTCTGGGTACTCCGATTTTCTCCCACACTGCAAAGACATGCCGGTATGTTAATTGGCTCCTGTCCAAATTGGCCCTAGTACATTTATATATATATATATATATATACATTATACACACATACATATATATACAGATGCGAAAAAGTTTGGGAATCCCTTGGGATTTGTATTAATGTTTTGCATGAATTGGGCAAGCCAAAAAGATGCTCTGAAAAATCTCCAAAAGGCATCAAATTACAGATTAGACATTCTTATAATATGTCAAACAAAAGTTAGATTTTATTTCCATCATTTACACTTTCAAAATAACCGAAAACAAAAAAATGGCGTCTGCAGGAAAAAGTTTGGGCAACCTGCAGAATTTATAGCATGCACTGCCCCCTTTGGCCAAGCTGAGACCTCCTGTCATGGCATTGCAATAACGTCTGGGAAGAAAAGGTGATGTCAATCTCAAAGTTTTTGCCCAGACTCATCTGACCTTGCCCCAACAATCAGCACCATGGGTCTTCTGGAACAGTTGTCTTCACAAAACTGTTTAGTGGCGTCAGCAAAAACTGGAGAAGGCTATAAGAAGATAGCAAAGCGTTTTCAGATGACAATATCCTCTGTTCGGAAGGTCATTAAGAAATGGCAGTCATCAGGAACAGTGGAAGTTAAAGCAACATCTGGAAGGGCCCAAGAAAAATATCAGACTAACAGCTCGCAGGATTGTGTTGAAAAACTTCAATGCCCACGTTTGTCCTGCACGATCCCCCCAGAAAGATCTGGCAGACATGAGTTGTGGTCCACTATTGGTCTATAAAGAGATACTTGTACAAATATGGTCTTCATGGAAGAGTCATCAGAAGAAAACCTCTTCTACCGTCCTCTCCCTCAAAAATCATCGTTTGGACTTTGCAAATGAACATGCTAGACAAGCCTGATGCATTTCCTCCAAACATAGTGTTGTGGACCCGATGAGGTTAAAATTGAACTTTTTGGCTGGAATGAGCAAAGGTATATTTTTGGAGAAGAAGGGGCACAGAATTTAATGAAAAGAACCTCTTTCCAAACTTAAGCATGGGGTGGATGCATCATGCTTTGGGGTTTGTTGCAGCCATGGCACAGGGAACATCTCACGTGGTAGAAGGAAAAATGGATTCAATAAAATTTCAGCAAATTTTGGATGGTAACTTGATGCCATCTGTGAAAAAGCTGATGTTAAAGAGAGGATGGCTTCTACAAATGGATAATGATCCTAAATACACCTCGAAATCCATGCGGGGGATTACATCAAGAGGCGTAAACTGAAGGTTTTGCCATGGCCTTCACAATCTCCTGACCTCAACATAATTGAAAATCTATGGATAGACCTTAAAAGAGCAGTGCGTGACAGACAGCCCAGGAAATCTCAAAGAACTGGAAGACTTTTGTAAGGAAGTCTGAATGGACAAAGATACCTCAAGGCAAGAACTGAAAGACTCTTTGGCTACAAAAAGCGTTTACAAGCTGCTTACTTGCCAAAGGGGGCATTACAAGATATTAACTCTGCAGGAGTGCCCAAAACTTTTGCGACGCCATTTTTTTGTTTTCTGTTATTTTGAAAGTGTAAATGATGGAAATAAAATCTAACTTTTGTTGACATATTATAAGAATGTCTAATCTGTAATTTGATGCCTTTTGGAGATTTTTCCATCTTTCCTTGGCTTCTTAATGCACATTAATACAAATTTTTAGCTGGGGTGCCCAAACTTTGATCCCCACTGTTGTGATATATATACATACACACACAGTATCCACCTCTGCCACATTTCCATAAATATTTGATTCTCTCTTTTCATGTGACAACACTGAAGAAATGACACTTTGCTACAATGAGACGTAGTCAGTGTACAGCTTGTATAACATGTAATATACACACACACACACACACACACACACACACACACACACACACACACACACACACACACACACACACACACACACACACACACACACACACACACACACACACACACTACACACACACACACACACACACACACACACACACACACACACGCTTTGCATGCATTTCTGATGATGAAAAAAGGCTCCGGACAGCATCTGGGCATGGAACAGTTAAAAACGCTTCTAAATGCAAATGCTTATAAACGCGGTTTGCTGCGTTTACAAGCGTTTGAAATGCCGGTATAATCTACCCCTGAACGCAAATTTTTGGTGCGTTCAAAAAAAATGACTCTAAACTCAACCGACTGTAAAGGACGATGTGTACACGGACACATAGGAAAACATTAGGGAGAGTTCAGGGGCTGCTGGGAAAAAAAAACGCTGAACAGCTCCTGAACGTGCGTTTATCATCTGCGGTGTACATGGAGCCTAAAGGGAAGAGGCAGCAACCCTATACGTGAGCCGGAACAGGAGATCAGATCTACGCGCTGTACTCCTATAGGAGGTGGTTGG